GCCCTAAATCAGTTGATCAGCTGTCATCATTGATTGACAGCATTTCTCTTGTTTCTTGTGTTGACGAACTTGACCAATTACCAACCAGATCTGGGGTGGCCACAGGGGTGGCCAATGAGCTTTCAGGTGGCCCCGGCCACCCCAGGCCACCCCCCAGAATCGCCATGTGGTCCGACCACACCCAGTTTCTATACAACTACCCCTCACTGTCAGCACTCAGTGAATCTACATCCAGCATCAATATCCGTCCTCTGAGGTACTTTGAGGTTGTGACAGCAGCTGAGTCAGAGCTCAGAGATAAACTACAGGACGTTCTGAGGGACAAATGGACAAACGTCTCACTGACAGTGACTGAAGTGGATGTTTTACTGCCACAACCAGAGCCCAAGACCAGAGCTGGATTCTTAAAATATTCACATGAACTAACACTGGATCCAAACACAGCAAATACACAGCTGTTATTATCTGAGGGGAACAGAAAAGTAACAGTAATGAGTCAACATCAGTCTTATTCTAGTCACCCAGACAGATTCACTGTATAAATTCAGGTCCTGAGTAGAGACAGTCTGACTGGACGTTGTTACTGGGAAGTGGAGAGGAGAGGGAGAGTTTATGTAGCAGTCACATACAAGAATATCAGCAGAGCAGGGGGGTTAGCTGAATATGGATTTTAGATTGTTTCACAAACCGTTATATCTTTTATTACAACAATGTCCAAACTCCTGTCTCAGGTCCTCAGTCCTCCAGAGTTGGAGTGTACCTGGATAACAGTGCAGTTATTCTGTCCTTCTACAGCATCTCTGAAACCATGACTCTCCTCCACAGAGTCCGGACCACATTCACTCAGCCTCTCTATGCTGGACTTTGGCTTCATGTTGGATCCACAGCTGAGTTGTGTAAACTCAAATAGAACGAAGTGGTTTCAGGTTTTGTTTCCACCGTTGTTTCTGAGAGCTGATTGTTGTGGCGTTTCTTCACTGCACAGAGATCACCTGTCAATCAAACATTGTGGGCGGAACTTTGACATCTTCTTATTAGTTGTTCTGTAAATGTTTGAGTGTCTTTAGGTGGCACTCCTTCCTGTGTCTGTTCAGCCATGGAGGCTATCACTGCTCATTATTTCTCTGCATGAAAATGTAAACTTGTGTTTGTTGAATATTTGTAAAGATGTATTTGTATATTATTGTTTCTCCTCCACTACAGCGGTTTAAGAGAGAAAGCAACAGACTTTCCTTTATTTTAATATTTAGTTCTTACCACTTTGTAAAGAAATCTTTAATGACATTTACATTTATTTCTGTTTTTGTTTTCAACTTACAATTGAGGAATTATGGGGTATAGTAAAACTGTAATTGATCATAATCAATAAGGAGATCATTCGTTATTTATTCACAATTAGAAAGTAGGACTGTTTGTGATATATCAGTGAGGGCAGTGTTTGATGGTTGTAATGGTGTTAAATGGTTATAAACCTTAAGGGAAAATACTCGGGCACTGCCATGACACCCACTATTTACCGTTAAATTACATTCTGTGGAAGTCATGATAAAGACTCTTATGATGTGTAGCTGAACTGATAACATGAATCGTACCTTTGACACATAGATTCACATGCTCAGCCAGGAACGTGAGCTGGACCAGTCACATGGAAAACCTATAGGTCTGAAAGGTTGAAGGGTTCAGGAAGTTAATTGTGTGTGTTTGCATCAACTATTATTTATAAGATTCATATAAACACTGAGGGCTGCTGGGACCAAGCCCCCTTTGACAATGAAGCCCTAAATTCCAGTGAAACAATAAGTATTAAAGTAATCAATAACTTAGAGAACAAACAGGCCAAGGACATCAACATAAAGGACAATGTCAGTACAAAGAAAACACATTCAGTCACACTGCTGTATTTCACTCAAAGAGGATTTAAATTCTGATTCTAACTTTACAAGCTCCTGCAGATTGTTCCAAATTACATTAAATTAAATTACACCAATTTCACTGTTTCAGTATCAACATGATTTTCAAAGACCAACTAGTCTTGGGACCAAGAGAATAATGAAATTGATCTATACTTAAAAAGATCAACATACATACCCTGGAAGTTTACTAAGAAGATAAATAAATCAAATGTAATGTTCACACCTCACAGTGGATGCAGGAATTGTTACTCAGTGTCATTTTCTTTCTTTCCCATTAAATGAACTTGAAGAGGTTGAGGGGTTAGGTGATGGAGAGGCACATGGCTGGGCATTGCACCCCAATGCCCCGCCCCTTGGTGCCCACTATCCTCTCTTGACATTTCCCAACTAAACATTGAATATGAAATGATGAGTCCTTCCTACACTTAACTGGGCCAAAGAAATAAAGACGTGCTAATTAGTTTTGGAAAGACTGTGGAATCCTGTACTAACCACCATCGAAGGTGTTGGTATGGAGTTGATGCATGTCTCTCAATACATCGCTCTTGATAACAAAATGTTGCTTCCACAATGCCAAAGGTCCAAGATCAGCCCCTTGGAACACAGTTCAACTGTTCCCCTCAGGTCCAAGATACATGGTTTCCATCATCCATTCTTCCATTCACATGTTAAACAGTAGATCTATTAAACTGTTGTCTGTAGATTGCTTACATTGTTACTTGTACCTACCTTGACCTGGATGCTGAACAACCTCCTGAACTGTAAACTGTGTCTCTCTGTTGTCTGTCCACCACTGTTTAGGTGTGTTTGTGTATTTGGAATGATCCTGGCTCGTGTCCAATTTCCCTGGAAGAGACAATAAAGATACTTTGAACTTTTGACGATTAGTATTTCACATCACGGTTGGCGAGATTGTGGTGTCTGTTAATCAACTATGTTGTGTTTTTGTGTCTTTTTTCCGTTTTTGTACGAGGTGGAGAGATAAGTAACTGTATATAAAGAGCTGATGTTTGTCTCGTTCAGCAGCTCCTCACAGGAAGACTGAAGTTACAGGCTGACACCGAGAAGGAAGAGGGAAGATCATTCTGCAGCAGCTCTGCTCGTTCGATAGACTACAGGTCGTCTCTTCCCCCGGACAAGTATTACTAACACTGTCTGTCTTTATTAAAGCTAATCATCCCCTTTGGCATCATCTCCACCATGAAGATCCTGACTCTGTCTGCACTTCTTTGTGCCATGATAACTCTGACTGGAGCAGCTGGTGAGTATCACTCTGTATGTTAAGTACATTTGTCTATACACAGCAACGAGGGGCGATGAAGACATTAACTCACTACTGGGTCAAAATGTCCTTCCAGCTCTTCCAGACTCTGAGGGTGAACCTGGGACAGAGGAAACTATTGTTGGTAAGAATATTTTTCTTTAGATTTATATTGATGCTCTCTTGTAATCAGATATATGAGACATGAGTTTTACTGCATGAACAGAGAAAGAGATTGAATTCATTCATAAATACTCAATGAAAATAGCGGACAGTTTCAATCAGTAACGGCTACATCAAACTGTGCAGCTCTTCCAGACACAAAGGACGAAAATTGGACAGACTCATTCATTCCAGCTGGTCAGTGGGTGTTTCTCAAGAACTATACTGAAATGCACTTTGTCATGATGTTCTCCTTTAAATAAGCAGAACTATAGACTGATTATCCACTCTTGTCTGTTTGACTTCAGGAGAGACTGATGATGTCCAGAGGGCCAGATCTTGTCCCAGTGGTTGGACTGCTTTCAACAGTCGCTGTTTCCTTTACGTTCCAAGAGTCCTGAACTGGGCTCAGGCTGAGGTAATTGGGATTGTGTTAATTCAGGGACCCAAACTTCTACACAAAGTTCATTCTGTTCTCTATAGAGAGGAGGCCACGTCTGTAAATGATGCCAATGAACTGTCTCTCTCTCTCTGCAGAGAAACTGTCAGTCCATGGGTGGAAACCTTGCATCTGTACACAGCTTTCAGGAGTACCATGAGATTCAGAGGATGATAGTGAGAGTCAGTCATTACAGCAATCCAGCATGGATTGGAGGGTCTGACGCACAACAGGTAAAATATTCACCGTTATATAATGTGCAACAAATATTTATTAAAACAATCATTTGACTGTTTTATTCATACAATCTTCTGTTCTGTAATGAAGGAACGTTATTGGCTCTGGAGTGACGGCACAAGATTCAGCTATTCTCACTGGTGTCGTGGAGAGCCTAATAATGATCGTGGTCAGCACTGCACACAAATTAATTTTTCAGGTAAATCACATTACTTTCCTTGAGAGCTCAGTGTATGGTTGGTGTAAATGATACAGGATGAATATGAAGAAAAAGACAATGAACTGAAAGAATATATCAATCAATTTTTTTTAAATAACAAATAATAATTTATAACTAGGTTTTCAAATTCTTTGGGTTCCTGAAATTATACATGGCATTGATATCATATACCACAAAATCTACAGTGCTGGTTACTGCGATTGATTAGTAACTTATTAATGCAGCTTTAACAGCCATGGTGCTGTGAGGACAGTGGTTCCCTGTAACTGTGAGTGGTGCTGTTCAAACAGACAGTATATCCCAGGATAAATGATGTGTCTACGTAATGATGCTTCATTCAACAGGTTCAGCTTTGGGTTTGTGTAGCGCTGTCTCACTGCTGGGTTTTTGGTTTATACAGATCAGAAATGCTGGGATGACTTTTGGTGTGACGGGTCCCTCCCATCAGTCTGTGCCAGGAAGCGCTGACATGAAGAACCAATGAAAAGCACAAACCGATCAATTTGTGCTTGAAAACTCACCTCTCTATACGCCATCCGTCTCATATGTAACCTAAAGGCTTTATTTCTTATTAAACTTCTTTATATATTTTTTCTACTACTGTAATGGTAATGGTCGAGGCAGACTGCCACCCACCTAGAGTCGGGGTCAGTCCGAGGTTTCTTCTTCTTAAAAGGAAGTTTTTCCTTGCCGCTGTCTCCAAGGTCTTGCTCATGGTGGGACCGGTTGGATCTCTATAAATAATGTTAGAAGGAGTTCGGTCTAGACCTGCTCTATTTGTGTTCTGAGATATCTTCTGTTATGAATTGATGCTATACAAATAAATTGAATTGAATTAATGTCATTTAAGAAGCTTAAGTGAGTGAACTGTTGTTTCTTGTCTTGTTTCAAATTAAAAACATTGAAAAAAACTGGTGTTTGTTATATTTCCTGTAAAATCTTGATGAATTAAACAATAATAGGGCGGCAGTAGCACAGTGTGTAGGGACTTGGCTTGAGAACTGGAGGGTTGCTGGTTCAAGTCCCACAGACCACAAAATATGGAGTGTGGACTGGTAGCTGGAGAGGTGCCAGTTTCACCTCCTTACAACCCCAAAACCTGCTCATGGGGCACAATTAATGTTGCAGCCCCATCATTCCACCATCTATCCCCTTTGCATGTCCACAAGAGCATGAAGTGTGCATTTCAGCCTGTGTGTGTGTATAAAAAAGAGTGAAAATATCAATTTCCCCTAGGGGATCAATAAAGCATATCTTATCTTATCTTAATGTACATGATCATTCTACCTGCTTCCCATCCTACAAACAGATGATGGTATAAGATCTACATCATCCAAACCTCTGATGGATGGACTGAATGTGTCAGACAGCATTTGGTTTAGTTTAATAGCAAGTGAACGCGCAGAAATATCTAAGGTACTATTTAATGTGTAGTTGTAGTAATTCTTCTGTTCAGCTGTAGAAAATATACCAAAATCTTCAAGGAGAACCACGACTAAGGTGAAAAAATAGGTTTTATTTTATTTGCAGGTATGATGGTGTTAAATGGGAGATGGTCAGTGAAGTTCACTGTATCGTAATGAGGTGTTAAAAATGTGGCGCCAAACTAAACTATAAATAACTATAAATAATAAGTATAATTTTTGTCTGAAGTCACACATAGAATATCCAACAGTAGATTTGAAGGAGCTCTGTGTAAATATTGTGCACCTTTAACCCAAACCAGAGAGGCAGCAATAGAAACACAGGCAGAGGTCAGTAGGACACCATGACTCCACTATATCTTTACATTGATTCAATGGTTGACAATTGTCTTGAGTTTTGTTTACCAGTAAATGTCTCTAACTGCTTGTTTTTGTTGTTTTAGGTCATTTTAAATTGAAATATTATTGATTACCAACAGAATGTATCACTTAATGTTCAATTTCAAACTTATCTACATATTACATTAACATACACTTCCTTTATTCCAGTGGTGGAAAGTACTTAAGTACATTTTGAGGTACTTTATTTTCTGCTGCTTTATTCTTGTTTCAATAACAATAATAACACAGCACAAAAGGGTCAAGCACATTCAAAAACATTATCTGTCCTTTGTTCAACTTGTTATGTATGTTCAGTACAAAGCTCTCAAATGCTCTCTCTTGATGGCTGTTTGTGGATGAGCTGAAAAAAATAGCTGCACCACCATCTTGTGGTCAGATGGCTGCACTGCAAGCTGTCCTACAGGGACATTCCCAAGCAGCAACGTCTTAAGGTCGGAGAGATTTCAGTTGAAGACCCAGAAGTTTGTAAATCCTTCGTACACAAGACCTTGACAACAGAAGATTCATTGCTCGATCACTTAAAGATCTCCAGCTGGACGAGGTTAGTCAAAGTCAACAGTGCCAGACTTAATAAATGTGTCAACAAATGTCATGTGCCAGAAAAGAGAACACTGAATTCCTCAAAGAATAAGCCTATTAGGTATTTATGATTGTGAAAATGATAGAAAATACATAATATAGACAGAGAATTGGATAATAGGTTCCCTTAACTGGAAGTTATCTGTTAATGTATCCAAATCCCTAATTTAACACAAACTTTTTACAGTTCATTGTACAGTTTTGAATATAGTAGGAAATATCCATAATATATTACTCTTAGTCAGGGCTCGTCAGTGTATTCAATGACAGAAAGGGGTTCTTTTCGGACATAGGTTGGGAACCTCTGCAGATAGCAACTACTTTGTGATAACAAAGGTGTGATGAGCAATAAGTTTACCTGTGAATCATGTGCCACTCCCCCACACATATCTCTTCTCTCTGAAAATGTTGACAGTTTTGTCTTTTGCATATTCGCATGCTTATGTGCGACTAACTCGTTTCATGGTAGTAGTTTTGCCATTTTTTGTTATGCAAGGTTGTGATTGCAAAACCTGCTACATTTACACTAGTGGCTGGATTTCTTGATGCTGAGCCTTCCACAAAAGTGTATCTTGTAACTCTGGCCTGGGAGAGCAAGATTCAGTTATAACTGCAACACATTTATTTTAAGTTACCGTCCAAGACTCTAGCCCCGCACAGTCTTTACATTCAGCCCTGAGTGTCAGAAGTCCGGTCACATGAGTGATCCACCTGAAAACACCAATTTGTGGTAGCAATTTGTTTAATAAAGCATGCAAAGTATGATCTTGTCTTTCTGTAAAGTTTTATTCAAGTCATCCATGAATGGCCTCAACACAACCGTCACACATTCTTGTATGTGGACCCGTCCAAGAAGATCCAGGAGAACATCTGCTCTCGTCATGATGAGGTGACGAAGATGTTCTGCCGTACTGATCAGCAGTGTATCTGTTATCTCTGCTCTGTGTATGAACATAAAGGCCACGACACAGTCTCAGCTGCAGCAGAAAGGACAGAGGCAGAGAGAGCTCGAGGTGAGTCGACAAAACATCCAGCAGAGAATCCAGGACAGAGAGAAAGAGCTTCAACGGGAGGTGGAGGCTATCAATCGCTCTGCTGATAAAGCAGGGGAGGACAGTGAGAAGATCTTCACTCAGCTGATCCGTCTCATGGAGAAAAGAAGCTCTGATGTGAAGCAGCAGGTCAGATCCCAGCAGGAAACAGAAGTGAGTCGAGTCAAAGAGCTTCAGGAGAAGCTGGAGCAGGAGATCACTGAGCAGAAGAGGAAAGACGCTGAGATGAAGAAGCTCTCACACACAGGAGGACCACACAGTGGTGTATCCAGGACATTTTTACTGGGTTGACCAAGATGGGACACAAGGCTAGTGTGGGGTGGCCATGGCATAGCGAAGTTTAATGCATATACATACGCAGATGACCGCGGTTCGAATCCCGGTCCTTTGCTGCATGTTACATCCCCTCTCTCTCCCATGACTTCCTGTCTCGTAGCTGTCAAATAAAGGTGTCTATGCTGGTAAAAAAATATATTTTTTTAAAAGTAATTTTTTATTCCATTTCCACCTATCACAGTCCTCAAGTATCTCTGGTTATTTTAACATGTCTATTTTTAATCAGTAATTATGTTCAGGATAGAGTACAAATTTTCTAAGAGCCATTTCCTTGTAGTGGATTAAAGTCCTTGTCTCTTCACAAATTAGATTAAAGTAGCAAAATTCAACTGCTCTTAACTCATCCTATTGAATAACATTTATCAGTCATCAGCTCATCATCTGTGTCACCTGTATTGTTACCTGTGTTTGCTTTACTAATTGAGGCGCCATCTTGTGGTTACATAAAAAACACAGCAATCCAGGCAACAGAACAAACCAAAATGCTTAAAGATAGGACCTACGATATAACTAAACATTAAATTACAATACCTCTCAATCGACAGATGTCAGCGTTTTTATTGTTGTTGTATTGTTGATGTTGTAACTGTGACCGTCCTCCTGTTTCACGGACCAGCAGCAGGTGCAGCGTGCTCATCTCATGGGTCACCTGACCTGCATGGCCAAACGTCAGCTCTAACAGCCTCAGTACGACCATTACTGTGTTAGTTAAAACTGTAAAACTGGCCCTAAATCAGTTGATCAGCTGTCATCATTGATTGACAGCATTTCTCTTGTTTCTTGTGTTGACGAACTTGACCAATTACCAATCAGATCTGGGGTGGCCACAGGGGTGGCCAATGAGCTTTCAGGTGGCCCCGGCCACCCCAGGCCACCCCCAGAATCGCCATGTGGTCCGACCACACCCAGTTTCTATACAACTACCCCTCACTGTCAGCACTCAGTGAATCTACATCCAGCATCAATATCCGTCCTCTGAGGTACTTTGAGGTTGTGACAGCAGCTGAGTCAGAGCTCAGAGATAAACTACAGGACGTTCTGAGGGACAAATGGACAAACGTCTCACTGACAGTGACTGAAGTGGATGTTTTACTGCCACAACCAGAGCCCAAGACCAGAGCTGGATTCTTAAAATATTCACATGAACTAACACTGGATCCAAACACAGCAAATACACAGCTGTTATTATCTGAGGGGAACAGAAAAGTAACAGTAATGAGTCAACATCAGTCTTATTCTAGTCACCCAGACAGATTCACTGTATAAATTCAGGTCCTGAGTAGAGACAGTCTGACTGGACGTTGTTACTGGGAAGTGGAGAGGAGAGGGAGAGTTTATGTAGCAGTCACATACAAGAATATCAGCAGAGCAGGGGGGTTAGCTGAATATGGATTTTAGATTGTTTCACAAACCGTTATATCTTTTATTACAACAATGTCCAAACTCCTGTCTCAGGTCCTCAGTCCTCCAGAGTTGGAGTGTACCTGGATAACAGTGCAGTTATTCTGTCCTTCTACAGCATCTCTGAAACCATGACTCTCCTCCACAGAGTCCGGACCACATTCACTCAGCCTCTCTATGCTGGACTTTGGCTTCATGTTGGATCCACAGCTGAGTTGTGTAAACTCAAATAGAACGAAGTGGTTTCAGGTTTTGTTTCCACCGTTGTTTCTGAGAGCTGATTGTTGTGGCGTTTCTTCACTGCACAGAGATCACCTGTCAATCAAACATTGTGGGCGGAACTTTGACATCTTCTTATTAGTTGTTCTGTAAATGTTTGAGTGTCTTTAGGTGGCACTCCTTCCTGTGTCTGTTCAGCCATGGAGGCTATCACTGCTCATTATTTCTCTGCATGAAAATGTAAACTTGTGTTTGTTGAATATTTGTAAAGATGTATTTGTATATTATTGTTTCTCCTCCACTACAGCGGTTTAAGAGAGAAAGCAACAGACTTTCCTTTATTTTAATATTTAGTTCTTACCACTTTGTAAAGAAATCTTTAATGACATTTACATTTATTTCTGTTTTTGTTTTCAACTTACAATTGAGGAATTATGGGGTATAGTAAAACTGTAATTGATCATAATCAATAAGGAGATCATTCGTTATTTATTCACAATTAGAAAGTAGGACTGTTTGTGATATATCAGTGAGGGCAGTGTTTGATGGTTGTAATGGTGTTAAATGGTTATAAACCTTAAGGGAAAATACTCGGGCACTGCCATGACACCCACTATTTACCGTTAAATTACATTCTGTGGAAGTCATGATAAAGACTCTTATGATGTGTAGCTGAACTGATAACATGAATCGTACCTTTGACACATAGATTCACATGCTCAGCCAGGAACGTGAGCTGGACCAGTCACATGGAAAACCTATAGGTCTGAAAGGTTGAAGGGTTCAGGAAGTTAATTGTGTGTGTTTGCATCAACTATTATTTATAAGATTCATATAAACACTGAGGGCTGCTGGGACCAAGCCCCCTTTGACAATGAAGCCCTAAATTCCAGTGAAACAATAAGTATTAAAGTAATCAATAACTTAGAGAACAAACAGGCCAAGGACATCAACATAAAGGACAATGTCAGTACAAAGAAAACACATTCAGTCACACTGCTGTATTTCACTCAAAGAGGATTTAAATTCTGATTCTAACTTTACAAGCTCCTGCAGATTGTTCCAAATTACATTAAATTAAATTACACCAATTTCACTGTTTCAGTATCAACATGATTTTCAAAGACCAACTAGTCTTGGGACCAAGAGAATAATGAAATTGATCTATACTTAAAAAGATCAACATACATACCCTGGAAGTTTACTAAGAAGATAAATAAATCAAATGTAATGTTCACACCTCACAGTGGATGCAGGAATTGTTACTCAGTGTCATTTTCTTTCTTTCCCATTAAATGAACTTGAAGAGGTTGAGGGGTTAGGTGATGGAGAGGCACATGGCTGGGCATTGCACCCCAATGCCCCGCCCCTTGGTGCCCACTATCCTCTCTTGACATTTCCCAACTAAACATTGAATATGAAATGATGAGTCCTTCCTACACTTAACTGGGCCAAAGAAATAAAGACGTGCTAATTAGTTTTGGAAAGACTGTGGAATCCTGTACTAACCACCATCGAAGGTGTTGGTATGGAGTTGATGCATGTCTCTCAATACATCGCTCTTGATAACAAAATGTTGCTTCCACAATGCCAAAGGTCCAAGATCAGCCCCTTGGAACACAGTTCAACTGTTCCCCTCAGGTCCAAGATACATGGTTTCCATCATCCATTCTTCCATTCACATGTTAAACAGTAGATCTATTAAACTGTTGTCTGTAGATTGCTTACATTGTTACTTGTACCTACCTTGACCTGGATGCTGAACAACCTCCTGAACTGTAAACTGTGTCTCTCTGTTGTCTGTCCACCACTGTTTAGGTGTGTTTGTGTATTTGGAATGATCCTGGCTCGTGTCCAATTTCCCTGGAAGAGACAATAAAGATACTTTGAACTTTTGACGATTAGTATTTCACATCACGGTTGGCGAGATTGTGGTGTCTGTTAATCAACTATGTTGTGTTTTTGTGTCTTTTTTCCGTTTTTGTACGAGGTGGAGAGATAAGTAACTGTATATAAAGAGCTGATGTTTGTCTCGTTCAGCAGCTCCTCACAGGAAGACTGAAGTTACAGGCTGACACCGAGAAGGAAGAGGGAAGATCATTCTGCAGCAGCTCTGCTCGTTCGATAGACTACAGGTCGTCTCTTCCCCCGGACAAGTATTACTAACACTGTCTGTCTTTATTAAAGCTAATCATCCCCTTTGGCATCATCTCCACCATGAAGATCCTGACTCTGTCTGCACTTCTTTGTGCCATGATAACTCTGACTGGAGCAGCTGGTGAGTATCACTCTGTATGTTAAGTACATTTGTCTATACACAGCAACGAGGGGCGATGAAGACATTAACTCACTACTGGGTCAAAATGTCCTTCCAGCTCTTCCAGACTCTGAGGGTGAACCTGGGACAGAGGAAACTATTGTTGGTAAGAATATTTTTCTTTAGATTTATATTGATGCTCTCTTGTAATCAGATATATGAGACATGAGTTTTACTGCATGAACAGAGAAAGAGATTGAATTCATTCATAAATACTCAATGAAAATAGCGGACAGTTTCAATCAGTAACGGCTACATCAAACTGTGCAGCTCTTCCAGACACAAAGGACGAAAATTGGACAGACTCATTCATTCCAGCTGGTCAGTGGGTGTTTCTCAAGAACTATACTGAAATGCACTTTGTCATGATGTTCTCCTTTAAATAAGCAGAACTATAGACTGATTATCCACTCTTGTCTGTTTGACTTCAGGAGAGACTGATGATGTCCAGAGGGCCAGATCTTGTCCCAGTGGTTGGACTGCTTTCAACAGTCGCTGTTTCCTTTACGTTCCAAGAGTCCTGAACTGGGCTCAGGCTGAGGTAATTGGGATTGTGTTAATTCAGGGACCCAAACTTCTACACAAAGTTCATTCTGTTCTCTATAGAGAGGAGGCCACGTCTGTAAATGATGCCAATGAACTGTCTCTCTCTCTCTGCAGAGAAACTGTCAGTCCATGGGTGGAAACCTTGCATCTGTACACAGCTTTCAGGAGTACCATGAGATTCAGAGGATGATAGTGAGAGTCAGTCATTACAGCAATCCAGCATGGATTGGAGGGTCTGACGCACAACAGGTAAAATATTCACCGTTATATAATGTGCAACAAATATTTATTAAAACAATCATTTGACTGTTTTATTCATACAATCTTCTGTTCTGTAATGAAGGAACGTTATTGGCTCTGGAGTGACGGCACAAGATTCAGCTATTCTCACTGGTGTCGTGGAGAGCCTAATAATGATCGTGGTCAGCACTGCACACAAATTAATTTTTCAGGTAAATCACATTACTTTCCTTGAGAGCTCAGTGTATGGTTGGTGTAAATGATACAGGATGAATATGAAGAAAAAGACAATGAACTGAAAGAATATATCAATCAATTTTTTTTAAATAACAAATAATAATTTATAACTAGGTTTTCAAATTCTTTGGGTTCCTGAAATTATACATGGCATTGATATCATATACCACAAAATCTACAGTGCTGGTTACTGCGATTGATTAGTAACTTATTAATGCAGCTTTAACAGCCATGGTGCTGTGAGGACAGTGGTTCCCTGTAACTGTGAGTGGTGCTGTTCAAACAGACAGTATATCCCAGGATAAATGATGTGTCTACGTAATGATGCTTCATTCAACAGGTTCAGCTTTGGGTTTGTGTAGCGCTGTCTCACTGCTGGGTTTTTGGTTTATACAGATCAGAAATGCTGGGATGACTTTTGGTGTGACGGGTCCCTCCCATCAGTCTGTGCCAGGAAGCGCTGACATGAAGAACCAATGAAAAGCACAAACCGATCAATTTGTGCTTGAAAACTCACCTCTCTATACGCCATCCGTCTCATATGTAACCTAAAGGCTTTATTTCTTATTAAACTTCTTTATATATTTTTTCTACTACTGTAATGGTAATGGTCGAGGCAGACTGCCACCCACCTAGAGTCGGGGTCAGTCCGAGGTTTCTTCTTCTTAAAAGGAAGTTTTTCCTTGCCGCTGTCTCCAAGGTCTTGCTCATGGTGGGACCGGTTGGATCTCTATAAATAATGTTAGAAGGAGTTCGGTCTAGACCTGCTCTATTTGTGTTCTGAGATATCTTCTGTTATGAATTGATGCTATACAAATAAATTGAATTGAATTAATGTCATTTAAGAAGCTTAAGTGAGTGAACTGTTGTTTCTTGTCTTGTTTCAAATTAAAAACATTGAAAAAAACTGGTGTTTGTTATATTTCCTGTAAAATCTTGATGAATTAAACAATAATAGGGCGGCAGTAGCACAGTGTGTAGGGACTTGGCTTGAGAACTGGAGGGTTGCTGGTTCAAGTCCCACAGACCACAAAATATGGAGTGTGGACTGGTAGCTGGAGAGGTGCCAGTTTCACCTCCTTACAACCCCAAAACCTGCTCATGGGGCACAATTAATGTTGCAGCCCCATCATTCCACCATCTATCCCCTTTGCATGTCCACAAGAGCATGAAGTGTGCATTTCAGCCTGTGTGTGTGTATAAAAAAGAGTGAAAATATCAATTTCCCCTAGGGGATCAATAAAGCATATCTTATCTTATCTTAATGTACATGATCATTCTACCTGCTTCCCATCCTACAAACAGATGATGGTATAAGATCTACATCATCCAAACCTCTGATGGATGGACTGAATGTGTCAGACAGCATTTGGTTTAGTTTAATAGCAAGTGAACGCGCAGAAATATCTAAGGTACTATTTAATGTGTAGTTGTAGTAATTCTTCTGTTCAGCTGTAGAAAATATACCAAAATCTTCAAGGAGAACCACGACTAAGGTGAAAAAATAGGTTTTATTTTATTTGCAGGTATGATGGTGTTAAATGGGAGATGGTCAGTGAAGTTCACTGTATCGTAATGAGGTGTTAAAAATGTGGCGCCAAACTAAACTATAAATAACTATAAATAATAAGTATAATTTTTGTCTGAAGTCACACATAGAATATCCAACAGTAGATTTGAAGGAGCTCTGTGTAAATATTGTGCACCTTTAACCCAAACCAGAGAGGCAGCAATAGAAACACAGGCAGAGGTCAGTAGGACACCATGACTCCACTATATCTTTACATTGATTCAATGGTTGACAATTGTCTTGAGTTTTGTTTACCAGTAAATGTCTCTAACTGCTTGTTTTTGTTGTTTTAGGTCATTTTAAATTGAAATATTATTGATTACCAACAGAATGTATCACTTAATGTTCAATTTCAAACTTATCTACATATTACATTAACATACACTTCCTTTATTCCAGTGGTGGAAAGTACTTAAGTACATTTTGAGGTACTTTATTTTCTGCTGCTTTATTCTTGTTTCAATAACAATAATAACACAGCACAAAAGGGTCAAGCACATTCAAAAACATTATCTGTCCTTGTTCTATGTTCAGTACAAAGCTCTCAAATGCTCTCTCTTGATGGCTGTTTGTGGATGAGCTGAAAAAAATAGCTGCACCACCATCTTGTGGTCAGATGGCTGCACTGCAAGCTGTCCTACAGGGACATTCCCAAGCAGCAACGTCTTAAGGTCGGAGAGATTTCAGTTGAAGACCCAGAAGTTTGTAAATCCTTCGTACACAAGACCTTGACAACAGAAGATTCATTGCTCGATCACTTAAAGATCTCCAGCTGGACGAGGTTAGTCAAAGTCAACAGTGCCAGACTTAATAAATGTGTCAACAAATGTCATGTGCCAGAAAAGAGAACACTGAATTCCTCAAAGAATAAGCCTATTAGGTATTTATGATTGTGAAAATGATAGAAAATACATAATATAGACAGAGAATTGGATAATAAGTTCCCTTAACTGGAAGTTATCTGTTAATGTATCCAAATCCCTAATTTAACACAAACTTTTTACAGTTCATTGTACAGTTTTCAATATAGTAGGAAATATCCATAATATATTACTCTTAGTCAGGGCTCGTCAGTGTATTCAATGACAGAAAGGGGTTCTTTTCGGACATAGGTTGGGAACCTCTGCAGATAGCTACTACTTTGTGATAACAAGGGTGTGATGAGCAATAAGTTTACCTGTGAATCATGTGCCACTCCCCACACATATCTGTTCTCTCTGAAAATGTTGACAGTTTTGTCTTTTGCATATTCGCATGCTTATGTGCGACTAACTCGTTTCATGGCAGTAGTTTTGCCATTTTTGTTATGCAAGGTTGTGATTGCAAAACCTGCTTACACTAGTGGCTGGATTTCTTGATGCTGAGCCTTCCACAAAAGTGTATCTTGTAACTCTGGCCTGGGAGAGCAAGATTCAGTTATAACTGCAACACATTTATTTTAAGTTACCGTCCAAGACTCTAGCCCCGCACAGTCTTTACATTCAGCCCTGAGTGTCAGAAGTCCGGTCACACGAGTGATCCTCCTGAAAACACCAATTTGTGGTAGCAATTTGTTTAATAAAGCATGCAAAATATGATCTTGTCTTTCTGTAAAGTTTTATTCAAGTCATCCATGAATGGCCTCAACACAACCGTCACACATTCTTGTATGTGGACCCGTCCAAGAAGATCCAGGAGAACATCTGCTCTCGTCATGATGAGGTGACGAAGATGTTCTGCCGTACTGATCAGCAGTGTATCTGTTATCTCTGCTCTGTGTATGAACATAAAGGCCACGACACAGTCTCAGCTGCAGCAGAAAGGACAGAGGCAGAGAGAGCTCGAGGTGAGTCGACAAAACATCCAGCAGAGAATCCAGGACAGAGAGAAAGATGCGAAAGAGCTTCAACAGCAAGTGGAGGCTATCAATCGCTCTGCTGATAAAGCAGTGGAGGACAGTGAGAAGATCTTCACTCAGCTGATCCGTCTCATGGAGAAAAGAAGCTCTGATGTGAAGCAGCAGGTCAGATCCCAGCAGGAAACAGAAGTGAGTCGAGTCAAAGAGCTTCAGGAGAAGCTGGAGCAGGAGATCACTGAGCTGAAGAGGAAAGACGCTGAGATGAAGAAGCTCTCACACACAGGAGGACCACACAGTGGCATATCCAGGACATTTTTACTGGGTTGACCAAGATGGGACACAAGGCTAGTGTGGGGTGGCCATGGCATAGCAAAGTTTAATCAGTATACGTACGCAGCTGACCACGGTTCGAATCCCGGTCCTTTGCTGCATGTCACATCCCCTCTCTCTCCCATGACTTCCTGTCTCGTAACTGTCAAATAAAGGTGTCTATGTTGGTAAAAATATATATATAAAAAAAAAAAGTCATATTCCATTTCCACCTATCACAGTCCTCAAGTATCTCTGGTTATTTTAACATATCTATTTTTAATCAGTAATTATGTTCAGGATAGGGTACACATTTTCTAAGAGCCATTTCCTTGTAGTGGATTAAAGTCCTCGTCTCTTCACAAGTTAGATTAGAGTAGCAAAATTCAACTGCTCTTAACTCATCCTATTGAATAACATTTATCAGTCATCAGCTCATCATCTGTGTCACCTGTATTGTTACCTGTGTTTGCTTTACTAATTGAGGCGCCATCTTGTGGTTACATAAAAACACAGCAAACCAGGCAACAGAACAAACCAAAATGCTTAAAGATAGGACCTTATTAAAAAGTGTATCTGTAAGCAAAGGATAAACTAAAGCATGACTTACCATCCTGTGCAGGAGGAGCTGACTCCTCTTCATCACTACTGCTGTACTAGGCTGCTGACTTGACTGAGCCTTTTCACTGCTACTGGTAGAAGCTGTGGCTGGCTCTGACTCTTTTCTTTTTTTTGAAGAAGCTCTGAATATCTCTGCCTCTCTTCATAACAATTCTCTTAATATCCCTGGGGGAAATGTAATTCAATCACTCAATCAATCAGTCAGTCAATTCACTTTGAAACAATAGCTATAACTACAAACGTCAAGCAGGATCATTGTCAAATTGGGTTAGAATCAGTGTGCAAAATACAGGTGTTGGTGGGGCTCTGGAACGCCTTAAAAAACAGCTTTGACTCCATTAAAATGTCAAAAAGAAAGGAGGTGTCAACAATGTGCCTAATTATGTCTATTTGTAGATTCTACAAAGGTTTATTTTTACATAACTACCACTCTTACCACTCACTTTTAATAACACAATAAACACATATTGCATCTCAAGCATTTGTGGCATTTGAATGCAATTTGCTCTGCCTCTGCCTATTTAAACGTCTAAAAACATGTGAACTGTGAAGATGAGCTAATTGATACAAACAAAAAGTCCTTTATCTGCAAGAGAAAAATGTCTCTAAACAGCCCTTAAAGCACAGAGCAAATAAAAAAGTCACAGCTTGTTCTTGTGTTATAGCTACTTAAATCTAGACTGTCACCCTATATTTCACACACTGGTTGGCCAAAAATAAAACATTAGCTCTATTGAACACACACATCTGCAAAAAACAACCTCAGTCTTCAGTCCAGAAAATAGCGTTTCATATTTCCTTCTATTGCCATGGAGGCTATCACTGCTCATGATGACTGTTGTTTACCTGAACTGATATTTCTCTGCATGAAAATGTAAACTTGTGTTTGTTGAATATTTGTAAAGATGTATTTGTATATTATTGTTTCTCCTCCACTACAGGGGTTTAAGAGAGAAAGCAACAGACTTTCCTTTATTTTGATATTTAGTTCTTACCACTTTGTAAAGAAATCTTTAATGACATTTACATTTATTTCTGTTTTTGTTTTTAACTTACAAATGAGGAATTATGAGGTATAATAAAACTGTAATTGATCATAATCAATAAGGAGATCATTCAATTTTTATTCACAATTAGAAAGTAGGATTATTTGTGATATATCAGTGAGGGCAGTGTTTGATGGTTGTAATGGTGTTAAATGGTTATAAACCTTAAGGGAAAATACTCGGGCACTGCCATGACACCCACTATTTACTGTTAAATTACATTCTGTGGAAGTCATGATGAACTGACTCTTTTGATGTGTAGCTGAACTGATAACATGAATCGTACCTTTGACACATAGATTCACATGCTCAGCCAGGAACGTGAGCTGTACCAGTCACATGGAAAACCTATAGGTCTGAAAGGTTGAAGGGTTCAGGAAGTTAATTGTGTGTGTTTGCATCAACTATTATTTATAAGATTCATATAAACACTGAGGGCTGCTGGGACCAAGCCCCCTTTGACAATGAAGCCCTGATTCCAGTGAAACAATAAGTATTAAAGTAATCAATAACTTAGAGAACAAACAGGCCAAGGACATCAACATAAAGGACAATGTCAGTACAAAGAAAACACATTCAGTCACACTGCTGTATTTCACTCAAAGAGGATTTAAATTCTGATTCTAACTTCACAAGCTCCTGCAGATTGTTCCAAATTACATTAAATTAAATTACACCAATTTCACTGTTTCAGTATCAACATGATTTTCAAAGACCAACTAGTCTTGGGACCAAGAGAATAATGAAATTGATCTATACTTAAAAATATCAACATACATACCCTGGACGTTTGCTAAGAAGATAAATAAATCAAATGTAATGTTCACACCTCACAGTGGATGCAGGAATTGTTACTCAGTGTCATTTTCTTTCTTTTCCCATTAAATGAACTTGAAGAGGTTGAGGGGTTAGGTGATGGAGAGGCACATGGCTGGGCATTGCACCCCAATGCCCCGCCCCTTGGTGTCAGCCCACTATCCTTTCTTGACATGTCCCAACTAAACATTGAAGTTCAGCTCTTCCCCTCAGGTCCAAGATACATGGTTTCCATCATCCATTCTTCCATTCACATGTTAAACAGTAGATCTATTAAACTGTTGTGTGTAGATTGCTTAGATTGTTACTTGTACTTACCTTGACCTGGATGCTGAACAACCTCCTGAACTGTAAACTGTGTCTGTCTGTTGGCTGTCCACCACTGTTTAGGTGTGTTTGTGTATTTTGAATGATCCTGGCTCGTGTCCAATTTCACTGGAAGGGACAATAAAGATACTTTGAACTTTTGACGATTAGTATTTCACATCACGGTTGGCGAGATTGTGGTGTCTGTTAATCAACTATGTTGTATTTTTGTGTTTTGTTTCCTGTTTTTGTACGAGGTGGAGAGATAAGTAACTGTATATAAGAGCTGATGTTTGTCTCGTTCAGCAGCTCCTCACAGGAAGACTGAAGTTACAGGCTGACACTGAGAAGGAAGAAGAGAAGATCATTCTGCAGCAGCTCTGCTCGTTCGATAGACTACAGGTCGTCTCTTCCCCGGACGAGTATTACTAACACTGTCTGTCTTTATTAAAGCTAATCATCCCCTTTGGCATCATCTCCACCATGAAGATCCTGACTCTGTCTGCACTTCTTTGTGCCATGATGGCTCTGACTGGAGCCGATGAAGACATTAACTCACTACTGGGTCAAAATGTCCTTCCAGCTCTTCCAGACTCTGAGGGTGAACCTGGGACAGAGGAAACTATTGTTGGTAAGAATATTTTTCTTTAGATTTATATTGATGCTCTCTTGTAATCAGATATATGAGACATGAGTTTTACTGCATGAACAGAGAAAGAGATTGAATTCATTCATAAATACTCAATGAAAATAGCGGACAGTTTCAATCAGTAACGGCTACATCAAACTGTGCAGCTCTTCCAGACACAAAGGACGGAAATTGGACAGACTCATTCATTCCAGCTGGTCAGTGGGTGTTTTTCAAGAATTATACTGAAATGCACTTTGTCATGATGTTCTCCTTTAAATAAGCAGAACTGTAGGCTGATCATCCACTCTTGTCTGTTTGACTTCAGGAGAGACTGATTATGTCCAGAGTGTCAGATCTTGTCCCAGTGGTTGGACTGCTTTCAACAGTCGCTGTTTCCTTTACGTTCCAAGAGTCCTGAACTGGGCTCAGGCTGAGGTAATCAGGATTGTCTTTATTCAGGGACCCAAGCTTCTACACAAAGTTCATTCTGTTCTCTATAGAGAGGAGGCCACGTCTGTAAATGATGCCAATGAACTGTCTCTCTCTCTCTCTGTAGAGAAACTGTCAGTCCATGGGTGGAAACCTTGCATCTGTACACAGCTTTCAGGAGTACCATGAGATTCAGAGGATGATAGTGAGAGTCAGTCATTACAGCAATCAAGCATGGATTGGAGGGTCTGACGCACAACAGGTAAAATATTCACCGTTATATAATGTGCAACAAATATTTATTAAAACAATCATTTGACTGTTTTATTCATACAATCTTCTGTTCTGTAATGAAGGAAGGTTATTGGCTCTGGAGTGACGGCACAAGATTCAGCTATTCTCACTGGTGTCGTGGAGAGCCTAATAATGTCCATGGTCAGCACTGCATACAAATGAATGATTCAGGTAAATTATAATATTTCCTTGAGAGCTCAGTGTATGGTTGGTGTAAGTGATACAGGATGAATATTAAAAGAAATAGAATATATCAATCAATCCATCCTTTTTATGAACAATTACTGATAAATCTTTTAAATATCTCAGTGGAGCAAAACATGTTTTTTCTTTTCTGGATTTGAAATTCTTTGAGTTTACTAGATTATACATGAGAATATATCATTTACCACAAAAGGAACAGTGCTGGTACTGAGATTAATAATGTATTACAGCCGTCATATCAGCCTCATTTTCAGGTTCATATTTGTATTTTGGGGGTCTGGTCTGCTGCTTATTCACCCTCTCTAAAACACTCATTTACATGCACGAATATATATATATCACACAATAAAGCACAGAAACCCCCCAACAGCCTAATATGGCCTCTTTAATGCAGCTTTAACAGCCATGGTGCTGTGAGGACAGTGGTTCCCTGTAACTGTGAGTGGTGCTGTTCAAACAGACAGTATATCCCAGGATAAATGATGTGTTTATGTAATGATGCTTCATTCAACAGGTTCAGCTTTGGGTTTGTGCAGCGCTGTCTCACTGCTGTGTTTTTGGTTTATATAGATAACAAATGCTGGGATGACTTTCAGTGTCACGCATCTCGTCCATCTGTCTGTGCCAAGAAGCGCTGACACGAAGAACCAATGAAAAGCACAAACCGATCAATTTGTGCTTGAAAACTCACCTCTCTATACGCCATCCGTCTCATATGTAACCTAAAAGCTTTATTTCTCATTAAACTTCTTTATATATTTTTTCTACTACTGTAATGGTAATGGTCGAGGCAGACTGCCACCCAACAAGAGTCGGGGTCAGTCCGAGGTTTCTGCCTCTTAAAAGGAAGTTTTTCCTTGCTGCTGTCTCCAAAGTCTTGCGTATGGTGGGAACTGTCTCTGTAAATAATGTTATAAGGAGTTCGGTCTAGACCTGCTCTATTTGTGTCCTGAGATAACTTCTGTTATGAATTTGTGCTTTACAAATAAAATTGAATTGAATTAATGTGATTTGTGAGTGAACTGTTCTGTCTTGTCTTGTGTGAAATTAAAAACATTGAAACAAACTGGTCTTTGTTATATTTCCTGTATAATCTTGATGAATTAAATAATAATATACATGATCCTTCTACCTGCTTCCCATCCTACAAACAGATGATGGTATAAGATCTACATCATCCAGACCTCTAATGGATGCACTGAAAGTATCAGACAGCATTTGTTTAATTTAATATAACCACCAACAAGGGTGTTTCCAGAGTGGGGGCTGGGTTGGCAGTGTCACACTGAAAGTACGCTGCTGGTGATTTTCTTTTATTGTCTTCATTTCCAGACTTAAACCAACAATGAATGTGTCTACGAACAAGTCCTGTGTGTGTAGCACAGTGCCATAGAGCTCCATTGTTCCAAAAACTACTACAAACACATCAATGAGCAACAATCTGCTGCTGAAAATAGTCCCAGACAAATGCACCATACCCTGCTGTTTGATAAAAGAGACCACAGACAGACTGATGATCAGGCTCAGGATGAATTTAGGGGATTAATAATAATAACTTTAAGGACTGTAGCTGTGTATTTTCACTGTATTTTATTTCATTAATAAACATGAATGAAGGTATTTGGCTCTCTGTCATTCTGGTCTCCAGAAATAATGTAATAATACTTATTTATAATAGAAATAAATGATGTTTCATAACTAGGTTCGGGAACAAAGACCACGCCCTGCAATCATCTAATTTCCGCTCAAAACTTATTTAAGCATACCTTATCCGTTCACTCCCTCCTTGACTCATTTCCCACATGATCGGCGTCAGACGAACCACGGAGTACAAGCTCAACTCTTCAGACAGCAACATGTTTGAAGACGGATGGCAAACTCACGAAATGTCCGAGTCCTCTTCCTCGCCTACCATTCATTCTCGTCAGCCACCGCGGCTCCGCTCAACAATCCACGTGCTCCGACACTCCCAGCCTTCATCCACCGACAGCTCCAACACCATCAGGTCTTCGCCCCCCAACAGGTCCAGGGAAGTTCTCCGGCGTCCGACCGACCTCCCTCCTGCCAGCAGCCTCGGGCGAAGCTACCGCGACCCGACTTCACCTCGCCGTTTCTCTGGCTGTCCCTCGGCCGTAAACTACGGTGACTTGCCCGAGGATCGCTCTCTCTCAGCGAAACACACCCTTCCAACGCACCGATAACAAAACGAAACTTTCCACGCACTTCCAGGAAAACGCCACACTTCCTCTCCAAGCTTCACCGCCGCTTCCGGGTTCACGGCGTCGCGTCCTTCGCAACGCCGATGGCGTCACGGCGCATCCCACAGCCCAGCCTTCCTCATCAGCCCTCTCAGAGGGCCAGGTAGTATCAAACCCAGTACCTGCCATTTCGCCTTCACAAACAACCTGAGCACAGGCATCCCTACATCCCAGCATCTTTTCCCTTCTCTCATTTCTAACTTCCTTGTTCCATCTTCTTCGGCTGCCTCTGCTCCTCCCATTCCAATTCCAACCTTCTCAGGCGCACAGAGCGCTCCCAGCCACAAAACCCTTATTCTAAACGATAAATAATCTTTCATGGCAAATTCTTAAAACATATATGCAATATATCTTCCCACTTTCGTTCAACATACCGGCTTGCCTCTTAATTCAGGCAAGCAGGAAGCCCTGCAACAGTTATTGGTTTTACTTCAGAGCCATCATCGTAACATTAGTTTACATACGTAAAGGCATCGACCTTGTCATTCAATACATCCGTCTGAACTTGCATCTCTCGCTTTGGCCCACCGGGACCCTGTCCTCCCTTTATTCCAGGGTCACCTCTCCTTCCCTGTTTATATTTATTTAACAATAATCTGTTATGGCAAATTCTTAAAACATACGCAATATCTTTCTACGTTCATTTAAAATACCGGTTCGCCTCTTAGTCCAGACAAGCAAAGGAGCCTCGCAACAGTTAAACATTTTTATTTCAGAGCCATCATTGTAACATTAGTTTTCAGACATATACGCGTTGACCTCGCCATTCAATACACCCGTCCACAAGCAACCCTCATATCCACAGAACACTTAAACTTCATTCAGTCCATTGAATGCAAACAGCCACTATTTACCCACTCTAAACAACGCATCGCAGTACAATTCACCTTCCTGTTCCCCTCTTTCCACGATATTCGTTCATCGTTGCCCGATCGCAGATCAGAGCCGGACGGTTACTCAACCCAGCCCCGGGGCTCAGCAGCAAGGGAATCTACATATACCATATTCCGTTCACATCCCAAGATGCCGGTTGCCTGCAACAATTCAATCAGGGAACTTACGGGTGCTCACAATATCCAGAACTCTACTGCCGCGTTTTCACAGCTCGCTCTTCCCTGAATCACAACCAACGAGGCGCGGTGCCCCGTCCCTCCAACCACAACACACACCCTCACAGCTGCTTTGACCCGAACCTTACCTCAAAACCAACGTAGCCCTGCTTTTTTCGCCATATGCCCTAAACACCCCAAATCCGCAAACGTTCAACCACAGCTCTTGTTCCAAGGGCGTCGACAAGAGAAACGGACCAGTCCTCTACCATGCCAAGAGGCCGGTTCGTAACAATTCGTACAACTTCAGAAGCAACATTTCAAGTTGCCATTTGCTCCTCACCTGCTCCTTCTGCAGCAGAGCACATGCAAGACCTGCATGTCCCCATAATCCAACTAAACACAGCCCGCATAAGTATCCGAATACACCAATAAAAATCAACGCTCACGCCACCGCCTCGAAGAACCACCCAGATCGACAGATTGTTAACCACCTACAATGATTTACACACAGTGTTAGGTTTACAGGTCACGCCAGATTCCTCATACATGCCACAACTCTGTCAATCACCTCCGAGCCCGACATAGTTGATAAATTCCCGGACAGAGAAAATAAAGACGCATTCACAATGGGTCCATTCCCCAGTCCACTGTTCCCTACATTCAAAATCAATCCAACCCACGTTGCTTCACGAACATGACACACCAGATGACGCAAATCATGGCACCAGTTCCTCCCACCACTTAATGGCATTTTATTATTTTACGACCACTACATCACTAAGCTGGAACACGTCCAGCTATTCACATATGCAGCACCTCCAACCAAAGTTGCTCATTGTGGCAGGTGGTCTTCAGCCTAGTGGCTGCTTGACTTCTCATCCTTCTTCTTCCTCTGCTATACGCGAAACGTACCCAGTGATCTTAGCAATCATTCTTTGGGGTCACTAATGGTCCAATAAAATCATGACCACCACCATTCGACATCATAAACAAGGGACCAGTCCCACTGCCTTAACATAACGCAGCTCATACGGAAGCTTACCCTAGCTTCAGCACAGCATCAATTCATCACTCGAGCTTCTTGCATCCCAGGTCTCAGAACGCAATCGCCATCACACTCTCGCTTCTCGTTACGTAAATTCAGACAATCGGCACTAGCCTCCGACGCCGTTTCAACTCCAGTCCCACCATCTTCAGCCTCCATCCTCTACTGACTCCCCTCAGATGGATAATTTGGTCGCCATTTTCTTTCACTCGATAGCTTCATCCCGTTCGCTTCCATCGATTAAATCATCATACCAACGTGATCAGTTTCGACACATTTGCAAATCCTGTCCAAACCAGAATTTCCCCATAGCCATACTCGGGGCGTTCCCTTGCATCCGGGCCACATCCACTGCTCCCAGGCAGGGAATCCCAGATATCGGCAATAAACCCCTTGGCAGATGGTCTTCTCGAGCATATCTCACGTACATCTGTTATAACCTAAAAAACGATATGAAACACACTTACGAATCGATTCGGAGTCTTTTTGGGGGCTCTCTACAAGAGATACGAAGAGACAGTTCCCCCACTCAGTGTCTCGCAACCCACTCAGTTCCCTCTTACATCACGCCCAACCCCTCCATCCATTCATCGATCCGCCAACCGACCTTCATTCCTCCGACCTCATCCATCCCTCATCCCTCGAACCTACCTCCATCCCTCATCCCTCGAACCGACCTCCATCCCTCATTCCTCGAACCTACCTCCATCCCTTGAACCTACCTCCATCCCTCAAACCTACCTTCATCCCTCAAACCTACCTTCACCCCTCATCCCTCAGTATACCACATTGGTTCACATTCGTTCATTATGTGCAATAAACGTTTTTTATTTCATACATTTGATGGCGTGGTCATTGTTAGTGAAATGATGTTTCATAACTAGGTTCGGGAACAAAGACCACGCTGCAATCATCTAATTTCCGCTCAAAACTTACTTAAGCATACCTTATCCGTTCACTCCCTCCTTGACTCATTTCCAAAATCCCTCCCACCCAAACCCTTTCTTTTTGTCTCCCTCTCTTATACAAATACAGGAACCACTGGGGCTCTCTACAAGAGATACGAAGAGACAGTTCCCCGACTCAGTGTCTCGCAACCCACTCAGTTCCCTCTTACATCGCTCCCAACCCCTCCATCCATTCATCGATCCGCCAACCGACCTTCATTCCTCCTACCTTCATTCCTCCGACCTCATCCATCCCTCATCCCTCGAACCTACCTCCATCCCTTGAACCTACCTCCCTCCCTCGAACCTACCTTCACCCCTCATCCCTCAGTATACCACATTGGTTCACATTCGTTCATTATGTGCAATAAACGTTTCTTATTTCATACATTTGATGGCGTGGTCATTGTTAGTGAACTCCTTTCTGTACAGGAGAGCAGACAGACTGATGTCGTTAAAAGAGTGTTCAGTGCTTTTGTAGTTGAATCTCACATTTACATTTATTTATGTTTGAAATGAGGAATTATGAGGTATGATAAAACTGTAATTATCTTTATCATAATCAATAATCAGCCGTATAATCTGATCGCCCCCCCCCATGATCCTTCCCTCTTCCCCTCTGCAACCATACCATGCTAGCAGGGAAGTGGGCTAATTAGCATACCAAAATTACAGCCATGTAAAAACTGGTATAACCATTTGACCCCTTGACCTCTGACCCTAAGATACCTGAATGAAGACGGTTCTGTTATATGTGTAATGTTGTCCTATTGTATTTAATATGTCTGTTCAACTGTAGAAATATCCCAAATAAAATCTTCTGGGACCAC